CGCCTCCTCCGGTCTCTGCGTCTGGTCAGGTAGCTGCGTCTAGTCAGGTGTTTACTGCTGTGTCCAGGTCTAGTCCTGCGTCTGCCCCCTGCTCGTGTCGTCCTCTGACACACGAGACTCTCCTGTGGCATCACCGCCTTGGTCACCCCTCCCTGCCTCGTCTTCGAGGCATGGCCTCCCGTACCCTTGTCTCGTGTCTCCCCCGGTGCCTTCCTCCCCTTCCTCCGGGGCCTGCCCCCACCTGTGTTCCCTGTGTCGAGGGCCGGCAGCGCGCCGCTCCTCACTCCTCTTCGTTCCCTCCGACCGAGGCTCCCCTGCAGACTCTTCACATGGACGTGTGGGGCCCAGCCCGCGTCCATGGACAGGGTCACGAGCGTTACTTCCTGCTGGTCGTTGACGACTACTCGCGTTACACCTCAGTCTTCCCCTTGCGCAGCAAGGGTGACGTCCCTGAGGTGTTGATCGACTGGATCCGCGGTGCCCGTCGCCAGCTCCGCGAGAGTTTCGGCTCGGACCTTCCTGTTCTGCGTCTGCACTCAGACAGAGGTGGTGAGTTTTCCTCCGACCTCCTGAGGGCCTTCTGTCGTGCGGAGGGCATCCGCCAGACGTTCACGCTTCCGGCCTCCCCACAGCAAAATGGGATTGTTGAGCGCCGCATTGGCATGGTCATGGACGTCGCTCGTACGTCCATGATCCATGCGGCTGCTCCCCATTTTCTGTGGCCGTTCGCGGTTCAGTACGCGGCGCATCAGATCAACCTTTAGCCTCGTGTCTCCTTGCCGGAGACCACACCTACTCTGAGGTGGACAGGGAAGGTTGGCGATGCGTCTGCGTTCTGTGTCTGGGGATCTCGAGCTTTTGTCCGCGAACTTCAGCGGACAAGCTGTCCTCCCGTGCCGTTCCCTGCGTCTTCCTTGGCTTCCCCCCTGACGCACCTGGGTGGCAGTTCTACCACCCCACCTCGCGTCGTGTTCTGTCCTCTCAGGACGTCACGTTTGACGAGTCGGTGTCTTACTATCGTCTCTTTCCCGACTGCGCTGCCTCTCTCCCCCCCCCCGCCACTCTTCCTAGTACCAGGTACTCCTCCGGTAGACCCCCTCCCCCCTCAGGGTCCTACCCCCTCAGGTGTGTCTCGGGTAGACCCTGCCGAGCCGGTCGAGGTAGCTGTCGACTCAGGTGCTGCTAGGGGTACTGAGCCAGCGGGTGCGGGGACTGGGGGTGCTGAGCCTGAGCGTGTGGAGCCTGGGGGTGCTGACTCTGGGGGTGCTGCGTCTTGGGGTGCTGAGCCTGCGTGTGCTGAGTCTGGAGGTTCTCCGGGTGTCCCGTTACGGCGGGAGCCCCTCTCTCCGCAGTGGCTTCGTGAGTGGTACACTCGACGCTGTCGCCGTGCTACTAGTGCTACTGTTGCTGGAGCCGCTGGTCCTGGAGGCGTTCGTACTGGCGGTACTGGAGCTGCTAGTGCTGGAGCTGCTGGAGGTGCTGCTGGTGCTGGAGCTGCTGGAGTTGCTGCTGGTGCTGGAGCTGCTGGAGGTGCTGCTGGTGCTGGAGCTGCTGGAGGTACTGCTGGTACTGGAGCTGCTAGAGGTGCAGCTGGTGCTGGAGCTGCTGGAGGTGCTGCTGGTGCTGGAGCTACTGGAGGTGCTGCTAGTGCTGGGGCTACTGGAGGTGCTGCTGGTGCTGGTGCTGCTAGAGGTGCTGCTGGTGCTGGAGCTGCTGGAGGTGCTGCTGGTGCTGGAGCTACTGGAGGTGCTGCTGGTGCTGGTGCTGCTGGAGGTGCTCCTGGTGCTGGAGCTGCTGGAGGAGGTACTGGTGCTGTCTCTGCTGTTTCTGGAGGCGCTGCGCGGCCGCGGCCGTACTACGTTCCGCTCCTTCAGCAGGTTCTTGGTCTACCGCCTTCTCCTGGTCCTCCTCCTCCGTTACTGAGTCCACCGCCTGTCCAGTCACAGACCTTCTCCCCTACCCCGAAGATGGCCACTCTTTGGGTACTTCTGCACGTAGCTGCTCAGCGTGACTACGAGCTCCACTCGCTTGACTTCAGCACAGCCTTCCTACAGGGCAGCCTGCACGAGGAGATCTGGCTACGCCGCCCACCTGGCTTCACTGGGTCGTTTCTTGCTGGTACCCAGTGGAGCCTCCGCCGGCCAGTCTACGGTCTCCGCCAGGCACCCCGTGAGTGGCTTGACACACTGAGGACCACTCTTGCTACTCTTGGTTTTGCTCCTTCCACTGCTGACCCTTCTCTGTTTCTATGCACTGACACCACTCTGCCGCCGTTCTACGTTCTCGTGTACGTAGACGACCTTTTCTTTGCTACTGCTGACACTGAGGCACTCGCCCACGTGAAGTCCGAGCTGCAGAAGAGACACACGTGCACCGACCTGGGGGAGCTGACAAGCTATCTTGGCTTGCGGATCACCCGGGACAGAGCACAGCGCACCATTACCTTGACTCAGTCACACATGGTGCAGCAGGTCCTTCAGCGCTTCGGCTTCACGTACTCCTCGCCACAGTCTACTCCTCTGCCTACCGGTCACTCGCTCTCAGCTCCACCTTCGGACGAGTCCGTAGAGCCGAGTGGCCCGTATCCAGAGCTTGTGGGCTGCCTCATGTACCTAATGACTTGCACACGACCTGACCTCGCATACCCTCTCAGCCTTCTGGCTCGTTACGTGGCTCCCGGTAGGCACCGAAAGGTGCACTGGGATGCTGCGAAGAGGGTGTTGCGCTACTTGTGCAGTACATCGGGCATGGGGCTCATGCTTGGAGGACGGACTCGAGTTGTCCTCACTGGTCACGCTGACGCCTCTTGGGTTGACGACTTGGCTACGCAGCGGTCGTCACAGGGTTACACCTTCAGTCTTGGCTCCGGTTCTGTCTCTTGGCGGTCTACCCGCTCTTCTTCTGTTCTCAGCTCAAGTTGTGAGGCTGAGATTTACGCTGGGGCCATGGCTGCACAGGAGCTACGCTGGCTCACCTACCTGCTGACCGACTTGGGAGAGGCGCCTCGTTCTCCTCCAGTTCTGTACGTCGACATCAAGGCCATGCTGGCCTTGTGTCAGGAGCACAGACTGGAGCACAGAACGAAGCACATTGCTCTGCGCTACTTCCTTGCTCGAGAGTTGCAGCAGCGTGGCCAGCTTCGTCTCGCTTACGTGGCCTCACAGGCCAACACTGCTGATGTTTTCACCAAGGCACTTCAGCCTTGTGATCATCAGCGTTTCTGTACTGTTCTAGGCCTTGTACCTACTGTGCCTCACTTGCTTACTTCTTGACTCTGCTTGTACTGTACTCTATATACATATACCTGCATGCTTACACTTGCTAGGTTGTGTTCACTGTATTGTTTGCTTTCCTTTATATAACTCTGCATGTGAATTGGCCTTGTGGCCCTTTGCTTGTGCTCAGACTGCGTGGTGACTTTGTGATCCACCCTGAGCTTGCTTTGCCTTCTTGACTGGTCTTGTGACCTCTTGTTCTCCCCCACTTTGCCTATGGGGGTGTGTCAAACTTATATATGCTATAGTCTGTTTAGGCTGTAGTGGGGTAGTTCATATAGGGTACAACACTTTTAGGTTTCCTACTTGTACCCACCTGCTTCCTAGTTCATTCATTCCGTTCCTGATTCTAACAGATCACGCCAACGAAACAGACGAAAACGAACATTTGTCAGCGTACAAACGACACATCTCCTCCCATAATATTTGCCTCACCAGATCATGCTTCTAAGGGCAATCTTCGTGTACAGAATCGCGCGTGTTGAAAAAAAAAAAGGAAAAGAGTTTACCTTTGTACAAAGTATGCTTTAGGTGTCAGAATCCCAACCACTAGACCATTGGGGTAAAAGGGCTTGTTAAGTAGCGGGTTAGAGTGCGCCCATAACCCCCCAGGCGAACGCGCCTATAACCCCCCTAGGATCAATCGGGCATCCACAGTGCAGATCTACTGACACCCCCCCACACTGGGAGGCCCAGGACTGAGCACAGCGGCAACAGCCTACATGTGCATACACCGGGATTCGAACCCGAGACTACTCTGACACCATGTCAGAATCCTAGTCACTAGACAATTGGGATAGAAGGGCTTGTTAAGTAGCGGGTCAGTGCGCCCATAACCCCCCAGGACAACGTGCCTGTAACCCTTCCCTAGGATCCATCGGGGATCACCAGTGGACCTCTGACACCCCCCCGCACTGGGATGCCCGAAGTGCACACACTGGGATTCGAACCCGAGACCTTCGCTCTGATACCATGTCAGAATCCCAACCACTAGACCATTGGGATAAAAGGGCTTGTTAAGTAGCTGGTCAGAGTGCGCCCATAACCCCCCAGGCGAACGCGCCTGTAACCCCCCTAGGATCAATCGGGCATCCACAGTGCAGATCTACTGATATTAGGTGTGCGTAACATTGGGCCAGGAGACAACCTTTGTTAAGCATTGAGTTGGAAAATCATTTGCAACACTTGTGTTTTGTTTTTCTACCTTGTGCATAGATTGAGTTTGCCTGTGCATGAAGTACACGCATGGGGTAAAAAAACAAATGTTATGCGTATGATGGGCTAGAACATCGGGTGCAGAAGCTTGCAGCCAAAATTGCTTTTAGTGAGGTATTTCGTTTGGCTGGCAAAAACCAGGCGATCCGAGTGTTAGAAAGAAGAAGTGTTGGACTGGAAAGGAAAGGGAGTACAAGTACCTAACCCTAGAATTGTGTACCCCCTAAAGGCTAACCCACTGTAGCCTACACAAATACAACATATATAATGTTTGACACACCCCCATAGGCTAAGTGGGGGAGAGCAAGCGGTCACAAGACCAGTCAAAGCAAAGCAAAGCAAGACAAGCTCAGGGTGGATCTCAAGGATACCACACAAATTCCGAGCACAAGCAAATGGTCACAAGACCAGTTCACATGCAGTTTGATAATAGAACAAGAGGTACAGTGATCACAACCTAGCAAGTGTAAGCATGCAGGTATATATATAGAGATCATAGTACAAGCAGAGTCAAGAAGTGAGCAAGTGAGGGAGAGTAGGCACAAGGCCTAGAACAGTACAGAAACGCTGATGATCACAAGGCTGAAGCGCCTTGGTGAACACATCAGCAGTGTTGGCCCGAGTGGCCACGTACGAGAGACGAAGCTGACCTCTCTGCTGCAGCTCTCGCGCTAGGAAGTAGCGCAGAGCGATGTGCTTCGTTATGTGCTCCAGTCTGTGCTCCTCACACAAGGCAATGGCTGCCTTGTTGTCGACGTACAGCACTGGAGGAGAACGAGGCCGCTCTCCGAGGTCGGTCAGCAGGTAGGTGAGCCAGCGTAGCTCCTGGGCCGCCATGGCTGTGGCGTAGATCTCAGCCTCACAACTGGAGCTGAGAACAGAAGAAGAGCGTGTAGAACGCCAGGAAACAGAGCCAGAGCCAAGGCTGAAGGTGTAACCCTGAGACGACCGCTGCGTAGCCTGGTCGTCAGCCCAAGAAGCGTCTGAGTGTCCAGTGAGGACAACGTCGCGCCGTCCTCCAAGCACAAGCCCCATGCCCGACGTACTCCACATGTAACGCAACACCCTCTTAGCGGCATCCATGTGCTCCTTCCGGTGACGGCCAGGAGCGACATAGCGTGCTAGGATGCTAAGAGGGTATGCAAGGTCAGGTCGAGTGCAGGTCATCAGGTACATGAGGCAGCCCACAAGCTCTGGATACGGGCCACTCGGCTCTACGGACTCATCCGAAGGCAGAGCTGAGAGCGAGTGACCGGTAGGCAGAGGAGTGGGCTGAGGCGAGGAGTACGTGAAGCCGAAGCGCTGAAGGACCTGCTGCACCATGTGTGACTGAGTCAAGGTGATGGTGCACTGTGCTCTGTCCCGGGTGATCCGCAAGCCAAGATAGCTTGTCAGCTCACCCAGGTCTGTGCACGTGTGTCTCTTCTGCAGCTCCGACTTCACGTGGGCGAGTGCCTCAGTGTCAGCAGTAGCAAAGACCAAGTCGTCGACGTACACGAGAACGTAGAACGGCGGCAGAGTGGTGTCGGTGCGTAGAAACAGCGACGGGTCAGCAGTAGAAGGAGCAAACCCAAGAGCCGCAAGCGTAGTCCTCAGTGTGTCGTGCCACTCACGGGGTGCCTGGCGGAGACCGTAGACTGGCCGCCGGAGGCTCCACTGGGTACCAGGAGGGAACGACCCAGTGAAGCCAGGTGGGCGGCGCAGCCAGATCTCCTCGTGCAGGCTGCCCTGTAGGAACGCAGTGCTGAAGTGAAGAGAGTGGAGCTCGTAGTCACGCTGAGCGGCGACGTACAGCAGAACCCGAAGAGTGGTCATCTTCGGGGTCGGGGAGAAGGTCTGGAAGAAGTCAACTCCCTCTCGCTGACTGAAGCCTCGTGCAACGTAACGCGCCTTGAAGACAGGCGGAGAACCCGGCGGCCGCTTCACCCTGAAAATCCACATGCCACTGACGATGTTCGCCCCAGGTGGGGGAACCTCGTCGACGTAGGTGCCTGTGGATTTCCAGGAAGCCATCTCTGCGTCCATGGCTGTCTGCCACTGAGAGGAGTAGAGACCCTCCATCGCCTCTGCGTAGGAGCGTGGGGTCGGGATGTCTGGTGCATCCGGGTCTCCCTCAGGGGCAACTAGCATGGACACGAGATGAGGCAAAGCAGCGGCAAAGCACTCAAACTCCTCCTGTCTGTCCTCAAGGACGTCCGTGCCAAGAGCACACTCACCCCCGACGGACGGAGGACAGACAGACTCAGACTCAGCAACAAGGCTAGCGGCGTAGTCTAGACGACAGGCGGCAGCAAAGTCAACAAGCTCAGCGACTAGAGCAGACGCAGCAGAGGACTCGAAGGAAGGGTCAGTGACAACAGTGGCAAGGAGACGCATGACAGTAGGACTGGCAGCACGAAGAGAGTCAGACTCCGGGTCAGCAAGAGCAGGAAGAGAGGACGCAGGAGGAGACGGCAGAGGGACACGCTGTGGAGCAGTGGAAGGACGCAGAGTCATATAGTGAGTGCCAGGGACAGGAGGAGGTCGCTCACGCGGAGCACGACGACCAGCGCGGACAGCACGGACAGGTGACTCTGGACGCGGCTCAGGCGACGCTGGACGAGACTCAGGCGACGGAGGACGAGACTCAGGCTCACGACGCTCCGTAAGACCTCCCGTCGGCTCAGCGTAAGGAGAAGGACCAGGCAGTGGAGAGGCTGGCTGTAACTGTGACTGCGACTGGACAGGCGGTGGACTCAATAGGGGAGGAGAAGGACCAGTAGAGGGCGGGAGACTAAGAACCTGCTGAAGGAGCGGAACGTAGTACGGCCGCGGCCGCTCAGCACCTCCAGCGACAACCCCCTCAGCAGGCCCAGTCCCAGCAGCTCCAGTACCTCCAGTACGAGCACCCCCTGGACCAGCGGCTCCAGCAGCTCCAGCAGCACCAGCACCAGCAGCACCTCCAGCAGCGCCAGCAGCACCGCCAGCAGCAGCAGCACCTCCAGCAGCTCCAGCAGCACCAGCACCAGCAGCACCTCCAGCAGCGCCAGCAGCACCGCCAGCAGCAGCACCTCCAGCAGCTCCAGCACCAGCAGCACCGCCAGCAGCAGCAGCACCTCCAGCACCAGGGTCCGCGGCACTAGGAGCGCCACTCCGGAGACTGCAGCGCCGAGTGTACCACTCTCGGAGCCGCTGGGGAGAGGGCAGCTCCCGCCTAGGAGGGGAAGCACTAGCACCAGCTCCAGCAGCACTCCTAGCTCCAGAAGCACCCCTCCTGAGGCTGCAGTACTGTAAGTACCACTCTCGTAGCTGCTGTGAGGAGAGAGCTCCTCCAGGGGAAGCACGCTCAGTCTCAGCACCCTCAGACGTAGCACACCCAGGCTCAGCACCCCCAGACTCAGCACCCGCAGGCTCCGCACCCCCAGGCTCAGCACCCCCAGACTCCGCACCCCCAGGCTCCGTACCCCCAGGCTCAGCACCCCCAGGCTCCGCACCCCCAGGCTCCGCACCCCCAGGCTCCGCACGCTCAGGCTCCGCTCGCTCAGGCTCAGCACCCCTAGCAGGACGAGAGTCGACAGCTACCTCGACAGGCTCAACTGGGTCTACCTGGGACACACCTGAGGGAGCGGCACCCTGAGGGGGGAGGGGGTCTACCACAGCAGCACCTGGCGCGAGGAAGAGAGGCGGGGGGGGGGAGCGGGGCAGTGCGGTAGGGGAAGAGGCGGTAGTAGGGCACGGACTCGTCAAAAGTGACGTCCTGAGAGGGCAAGACACGGCGCGAGGTGGCGTGGTAAAACTGCCAACCAGACGCGTCCGTGACAAAGCCAAGGAAGACACAAGGAACAGCGCGGGAGGAGAGCTTGTCCGCGGACGTATCGCGAACAAAAGCTCGAGAACCCCAGACCCGAAAATGCGACGCATCGCCAACCTCTCCCGTCCAACGCAGTGTCGGGGAAGTCTCCGGCAAGGAGACACGGGGCCAGAGGTTGAGCTGATGCGCAGCGTATCGGACCGCAAACGGCCACAGAAAGTGGGGGGCAGCCGCATGGATCAAGGAGGTACGAGCGACCTCCATGACCAAGCCAATGCGGCGCTCAGCAACCCCATTCTGCTGTGGAGAGGCCGGAAGCGTGAACGACTGGCGGATGCCGTGCTCCGCACAGTAGGCTGCCAAGAGGTCGGAGGAGAACTCACCACCTCTGTCAGAGTGCAAACGCAGGACAGGAAAGTCCGAGTGGAAACGCTCACTGAGCTGGAGACGAGAAGCGCGGATCCAAGGGATCAAGACATCAGGGACCTCACCCTTGGTGCGCAAGGGGAAGACCGTGGTGTAGCGCGAGTAGTCGTCAACAACGATCAGGAAGTACCTCTCCTGACCCTGTCCACGGACGCGGGCTGGGCCCCACACGTCCATGTGGAGCGTCTGCAAGGGAGCAGTCGTCGGGGGAAACGAGGAGGAGTGAGGAGCGGCGCGCTGCCGCCCCTCGACACAGGGAAGACAGGGAGGAGAAGGCGAGGGTGGGAGGGGAGGGAGGACCCTGGGAAGACCAGACACAAGGTACCGTTTGTGCATGGCACGAAGGCGCTGCACTGACGGGTGACCAAGGCGGTGGTGCCAGAGGACGGTCTCGTGTGCTAGAGAGCGACACGAGCAGGGGGCAGACAGCTGACCTGAAGTAGACGCAGACGCAGCTACCTGAGGGGACTCAGTGGTCAGTGTGTACAGGTCCGACCCCGGCTGCCGAGTGAAGGTAACCAGGTGACGGCCCGTCCGAGCACATGTGCAGTGTGTCACGCGCTCGTAGGCAGGGGTGAACTGGTGGACACCCCCGTCCTGGAGCGCACAACCCGCCACCAAGTTCGTAGAGAACGAGGGGAGGTGGAGACCTGACAGTGTGCCCGACGGAACCGCAGGACAAGGAAGGACAGTGGAGGAGGTCGCAATGACCGGACCCCCAGAGGGGTCAGCAAGGGAGACAGCAACTGGCCGAGCAAGCTGCTCAAGGGCAGTGCGGTCACGAAAGAAACAGCGAGAAGCACCTGAGTCCAGTGTGAAGGTGTGCAGTGCCTCAGTAGACTCAGTACCAGGGGGCGCAGACTCACGAGCACCTAGAGCAGTAGCCTCACCAGTACCTGGGGCAGGAGACACGGGAGTACCTGGAGCGGCAGCCTCACCAGCACCTAGGGCAACAGACGCACTAGCACCTAGAGCGGCAGCCTCACTGGTCCGAATGCCCGGGTCGGGCGGAACACGCAGGTACTGAGCTCCCTCTCCACTAGTAGACAACACATACATGGCAGTGAGAATAGCATCAAAGTCTAGAGCATAGATATCAATGTTTTTCTTCATCAGATCAGCCCAGCGGGGCAGCTCAGTGGCAGCAGGGAACTGAGTACGCCAAGCGTCGTCGAGGCGGGAGAAGCAGCGCTGCGTGGTGTGCGCCCTCCCACACGTCTGACCAGTGCGGTCACCTGTGCGGATGACGTACGTGCAGCTAAGTCCACCCCCCCCCCCCCCCCGTGCTGTGAGTACCACTCACGAAGCTCCTGGGGCGACGGAGTCGGCTGCCGGCTCTGGCCACCGCCAGCGCCTCCACGACCACCACCTCCGCCGCTGCCACCCCGTCCACCACCGCCCCTGCCGCCTCCGCGTCCACCGCCGCCACCACCACTGCCCCCGCCCCTGCCACCTCCCCCGCCGCTGCCGCCACCACCCCCACCGCCGCCACTAGCCCCTCCAGCCCCGCCACCACCCCCACCGCCGCCACCACCCCCACCACCGCCTCCCCCGCCGTCACCTCCACCTCCCTTGCCCCCTTTGCCCTTGCCGCTGCGGAGCCAGCTCGAAGCGGACGCAGTTCCGACCTGCTCAGTACCAACTAGGTCGACAGCAGCAGCAGAGGCGACAGAGGGGAGAAGGGGGGAAGGGGAACACCCCTCGAAGAAAGGGGTGCGGGGGTCGCCACGAGAGGCACCTACAGCGACTATGCTAGCCTCGGCTGCAAGCAGTTCCTTCTCGAGGAGGTCAATGGTGAGCTCAGTGGGGCAGCGAGCTAGGAAGTGGTCCCTGACTGAACGCAGAGTGTCAGGGGGGCGAGTGACTAGGTGGTAGAGAGTGAGCCAGAGCGGGGGGGGGTTCTTGTCAAGAAACTCAGCGGGCATAGCAGCACGGAAGCGGGCCTCACTAGTGCGGAGGTGCGTGATGAGGTCAGAGACTGTGGAGAAAGCTGACAGGTCTGGGAACAGGTAGGGGAGCGAGAGACGGCCTAGCGCAGCAGAGGCAGGTGAGGAGTAGCGTGCAACTACAGCAGTGTACAGTGCCTGCGCAGTTTTGTGCTGGCCAAAGTGCTCGCGCTCATCTACCGGCAGGGAGTTGCGAATAGCGAAGCGAGCGTGAGCGTCACGAGTCTGCCACTGTGAGCGGGCAGTACTATCAGCTGTAGCAGCAGGGGCAGTAGCATGGCCTAGCGCGTGATCGTACAGTGAGATATCCTCCTTGGCAGTGAGCTGGAGGAATAGGTGTAAGTTATCGAGCCAAATCTCAAACTTCAGTGGGCGGCCCTCAGCATCGAAAGCCAGCACAGAAGGACTAGCCATAGTTTCAGTCGCAGTAGTAGTAGGAACTGCAGTAGTAGGAACAGTAGGGCGGCACGGCTCTGCCTAGGCGGTGCGGCTCGGTTCGGGCGGCGCGGCTCGGTTCGGGCGGCGCGACTCGGTTCGGGCGGCGCGGCTCGGTTCGGGCGGCGCGGTTCGGCTCGGAAGAAATGAAAATAGAAGATGCAAAATTTATGAACAGCAATCTAAATCAAATTCCACAATCCAACATTTCTCAATCGCTTGGATCAATCATAAGGTATTTAATCTGGCGTACGCGCAACCTGGTGAACAAAGAAAACAAGCATCACAAGACGAAGAAAGGAACGAGTAGAAGGGATAAAGAGCGAGTACAGTGAAAGAAAACCAACCGAAAGGAAGAAGCAGAGAAAACAAGACGAATGGATTCAAAGCAAGGGAGAGATGACGAGAGAGAGAGAGGACGAAAGAGAGAGGACGAGAGAGAGAGGACGAACGAGAGACAACGAACGAGAGATAGAGAGAGAGAACGAGAGAGATATAATGAGAGAGAGAGAGAGAGAGATAGAACGAGAAAGAGAGAACGAGAGAGAACGAACGAGAGATAGAGAGGGAGAGAGAGAGAGAGAGAGAGAGAGAGAGAGAGAGAGAGAGAAAGAGAGAGAGAGAGAGAGAGTGTGTAAAAAAACAGAAACTAAGAACAAAGAAACAATGCAGCTACGAATAGGAGTGGCTAATCGAAGAGTCTGAAAAAAGAGAAGGAAGGGTGAAGAACGGATAACGCAAAAATGGTCACGAAAGCCAAGACAAACGTCACTAGATGCGGAATCTATTAAAAGGAAGGAACAACTCGATAAAATCTTAAGAAATGGAATGAACGAGATCAGTAAGGAACGAACATGGGACTGGAAGGAAAAAAGAAGGAAAAAACAACCGGAATGCATATAAATAGAGACAATGATTCAAGCTAATACGAGAGATAAGAGCGCGATAGGGAATGGAAAAAAACATGCAGCCCTATTAACGACCTAAGGAAAACTGACGTCCTTACAGAGGCCTGGAGCTATTGTTCCGTTAAAACAACCAAGTGCAGAAGTAAACGAAGATCTTAGTATAGCTTGTAATCTTCTAACATAGTCTCTACTTAATAGCTAGAATGTTTGAGGTAGCATGGGGCGGTTTTGCCCCCAACCACCAAGCGGTGCTGTTTTTGGTGCTCACCTTCGAGTGAGCTGCAGGTTTGCGCGGGGTTGAAGTTTGACTTCGGAAGACTCCATCACTTCGGTGCCACATGGCAGCACAAGAAGAATCGAGACTGAAGGAGAATTCGATTCGGTGAAATTCGAGTTCCGAATTTCACCCCTTCGAAATGTTACTCGAACATTCGAGAGTGTAGCGACTCGAGGTTACATGTGCGACTCGATGCATTGCAGTTCATATAAATTTGTTTGCTTTGTATTGCAAGGAATATACTGAACATTGTGAATCACTTTGTATGAAGTACATTCGAACACAAATTCCAGAGAGTTTCCAATCATTCAACATAGAGTATAGCTTTCACATTAGTAGCCATATCTCGCTCGATACTTAGGCGATCGAGGTGATCCACGGCCCGTTGGAAAGCTAAGAAATTGCTCTACTGATTATTACAAATCTTAGTTCCTGCAAAATAGAGGAGAAGCCTCTACAACAGTGGTATCAGAGCTGGTCGGAGGATTCTACGCACGCAACAAGAAGCTAGCATGCCGACGTCAAGCGAGGCCTCCCGCACTTCCTTGGATGGTGTCGTTGTAAATTTCCGGCAAACCCTGGGCAACTGCGATGATGTTCGACACGTCGGCGGTACCGATTTTCACGGGACAAAACTACTCCGCGTGGAAGTTTAAGTTCCAAGTGCTCATCATGGAGCGAGGACTTTGGGGTTTCTTTGATGGAATGGAGAAAAAGCCGGACAACGAGAGCGATATCACGGCATGGAATAAGAAGGACCAAAAGGCGTTCGCTACGTTGATTTCCGGCATCGGCATCAATCTCGTGAGCTCGGTGCGCATCTGCATCAAGCTCGAAGCGTTGGCGCATGAAGCGTGGAAGCGGCTCGAGACGATGCACGTGAACAAGACTCTCCATGGCAAGATCCTAGCCTGGAATGCGTTCTACACGGTGAAGATGCGCGGGCGAATCGATGCACGAGTATGCGACTCGTGTGGAGGAACTCGGGGAAACGTTCATGGACCTCGGTGGAACGGTCACGGAGGAGGATTTGATTTTGACCTTGCTATGCGGCCTTCCGGAAGAGTGGTCGACGGTGATTACGACACTCGATAGCGTGCAAGACACTTGGACGAAGGAAATGGTGGTCGGTCGGCTTCTCCATGAAGAATCGCGTCGCCGACAATTCGCTAATGAGAGCGAGGGTGCCGCCATGTTCTCCGGAGGGAGTTCCGAAAAGAAGTCCACGTGGAGCAAAAGTGCGACGAAGAAGTCGTCCGGTGGGAAGCGATCGCGGCAAGGGAAACACATCGAATGGCTCGAGCAAGTGCCACTATTGTGGCAAGGCGGGACACTTTTGGCGTGAGTGTCGGAAGCGCCCGAGCGATTGGACTCCATCGAAGGCGCGGAACCACGACGGCAACGCGCACACGGCATCCGGCGATTCGGATGATTCAAGGGAGTCGATCGTATTATTGGCCAGTGACGGGACCAACATACCAAGCGACGCATGGTTCCTTGACACCGGCGCAACACAACACATGACGCACTCGGCATCGTTCCTCACCAACGTTGGTACACCGGGAGACGTAACACGCGTCATCTTCGGAAAGGACAAGTTGCTACCGGTGGTCGGAGTTAAAAATACGCGCCTCATCATCGATGGCGGGCCGGTGGACATCACGAACGTGCTTCACGTCCCGGGGTTGAAGGTGAATCTCCTCTCCGTCACTCAACTCGTGAAGAAGGGTGTGAAGGTCAGTATCGACGATGAGAAGATGAACCTCTTTTGGAAGGGGAAGCAATTTGCACAAGGCGTTCTCAACGGAGAACTCTACCAACTCAAGACGCACACGAAAGCGGCTTCATCCAACGTGGCGCAATGCTCCAAGGCGACTCTCAAGGCATGGCATAATCGGCTTGCGCACGCCAACAACGAGTCGGTCAAGGAGTTGGCCAACAAAGGACTTGCGAAGGGATTTGACGTGATTGCCGGCGACGACGAGAAGGGCGAATGTGCGGCGTGTGTCAAAAGAAAAATGGCTCGCAAGCCATTTGGTAGCCGTACCTCACCCCTCGCTAAGGACCCGCTTGCGCTTGTTCACATGGACGTGTGTGGACCGATGTGGCATGCATCAAAGGGAGGAGCGCGGTTCCTCTTGGTGATGCTCAACGACTTTTCGCGGATGTTTTGGACACGGCTCTTGAAGGCTAAGGGAGATGTGACCAAGGCGATTCAAGAGTGGGCGCTTGAAGTTTGCGACGATGACAAGAAGCGGATCAAGGCTATTTGCACCGACGGTGGCGGCGAAATTGTGAACGCGGAGCTTGAGAAATGGATGAAGAGCAAGGGCATTAAGCACGACGTCACAACACCCTACACACCCCAACAAAATGGAGCGGCGGAGCGGCTTAATCGCACGTTGGTGGAAGCCGTTCGTTCACTTCTTCAACACTCCAAGCTTGGGAGCGAGTGGTGGGGTGAGGCGAGTTCGTTGGCGGCGTGGATTCGCAACCGTTTGCCGACGAAGGTGCTCCCGGGAACGACTCCGTTCGAAGCATGGACAAGAACGAAGCCGAACCTATCCCGCCTACGCACCTTTGGGTGCCTTTGCTACTACCATGTACCGGATCCCCTTCGCCACAAGTTGCAACCAAAAGCTCGTGCGGCAATCTACTTGGGAATTGCGGCGAACGAGCGCGCGTGGCGAGTGTGGGACTTGGGTGAAAGGCGCGTCTGTCAAGAGAATGAACGAGAATGAATGAACAAGCAAACAGTTGGGTACGAGTACTAACCCTAATTGGGTTGTACCCCTTATGGGCTACCACACTATAGCCTACACAAATGTAAGCACTAAAACATTCTGACACACCCCCATAGGCAAAGTGGGGGAGAACAAGTGGTCACAAGACCAGTCAAGAAAAGCAAAGCAAGCTCAGGGTGGATCACAAAGTCACCACATAGTCCGAGCACAAGCAAAGGGCCACAAGGCCAGTTCACATGCAGGTATATATATAGATCACAGTACAAGCAGAGTCAAGCAGTGAGCATGTGAAGCAAAGTAGGCACAAGGCCTAACACAGTAGAGAAGCGCTGATGATCACCATGCGGAAGCGCCTTGGTGAATATATCAGCAGTGGGCCCTAGTGGCCACGTATGCAAGACGAAGCTGGCCCCGCTAATGCAACTCTCGAGCAAGGAAGTATCGCAGAGCGATGTGCTTCGTTCTGTGCTCCAGTCTATGCTCCTGACACAAGGCAATCATGGCCTTGTTTTTTACGTACGTAACTGGAGGCGAACGAGGCTGCTCTCCCAAGTCAGTCAGCAAGTAGGTGAGCCAGCGTAGCTCCTGTGCAGCCATGGCCCCTGCGTAGATCTCAGCCTCACAACTGGAGCTGAGAACCGAAGACGAGCGGGTAGACCGCAAGGAAACAGAGCCGGAACCAAGGCTGAAGGTGTAACCCTGTGACGACCGCTGCGTAGCAAAGTCGTCAACCCAGGAGGCGTCTGCGTGACTAGTGAGGGCAACTGAACCCCGTCCTCCAAGCACGAGCCCCATGCCTGACGTACTGCACAAGTAACGCAGTACCCTCTTCGCAGCATCCCAGTGCACCTTTCGGTGTTTACCGGGAGCCACGTAGCGAGCCAGGAGGCTGAGAGGGTACGCGAGGTCAAGTCGTGAGCACGTCATTGGGAACATGAGGCAACCCACAAGCTCTAGGTACGGACCACTCGGCTCTACGGACTCGTCCAAAGGTGGAGCTGAGAGTGAGTGGCTGGTAGACAGAGGAGTGGGCTGTGGCGAGGAGAACTG